GAGAATGCCTGGTGCTACACCTAGTCAAACCTCTAAGCTAGGATAATATTCACAGGAGAACATCAAAAGATGGCAGCCATCTAGGGAAACCCACACAAAATACAATCTAACACATACTGCTGAGATATTCTGTACCTGATGAAGTATTTAGTATAAATTTCCTTGCCTCTTTCCACAGCTCTACTTAATGAACGGGCTGTCAATCGAAGTGGAATCAACCTCTGGCTATTTAAATCCTATTGCTCAGGTACAACTGCATGTGTTACGTCACAACTACCATTCTTCAATATCTACCCTTGCAATCAAGGGGTAAGGAAGCCCCTCATTTCCTTATTATATCCTATTACTTTATAACAGTTATAAGTTCCTGCTCAGGAAAAAAGTAAATCTACAGTTTTTAAAAGCCACTCTTCTTTTTATAAGGGGAAAATCCTTCCTCTATTTCTGCAGTCATGGCACTATTTTTAATAGATGACCATCATACTAGTTCAGTTTTCAAGATCCAGTACATTTCCACAGCTGAAAAGAATGTAACATAACCAGAGTCTGGGCAGGAGGTGTGCATCATTTGCGTGCTTCACAAGGGCTGTCTGCCTTGTGACCACAAGTTGTCAGGGTAAGGGAAGAAGGAAAAATGCAAGACTTCATCGATTAGCCAGTTGTTCACACACTCCTGCAGAGTTGGAGGCACCACAGTTATGGAAGCAACTGCAGCAGCAGCTGCCACAGAACTGCCTTTGGCATGGAAATATTCCTCCCACACAGCCATTGTGGGACCACCCTGTGAACAGGCTAGTTTCTTAATAATTTGTAAATAACAGACAACTCACACCCATCTGTGAATAAACGAGCATCAGACATCTCCCCCTCTCTCAACAATAAGCTGGATTTTTTACTTGTCTATTTTCTGCATGTGCTATTGATAGTTAGTTAAAACACAAGTAAAAGTTGCACAAATTCCATGCCAGCTTTACACTAGAGAAAAATCTTGACATTTCTTACCTGCAGCAGATGACTGCCTTACAGGACAGTGCTAAGTCCAGAAAACTCTGCCTGACCTCAAACGAGAGAGCATACTTCAGTGTCTGGCCATCAATAATCACGGCAATATCATTTTCTTTGCCTAGTGAATCTCCCAAGTTTGTGCAGTGCTGTGTAAGGGCAGCCCTGGTTGCCTAAAACAGAAACACATACATAAAAAAAGAAAAATTATATTTCTTGATGTTGCAATCTAAACCATTCCAAACCACAAATAGCATGCTTGATTAGAATAAGTGGGGGCTGATGCCTTTTATACCTTTTTCCACTGCTTCTATCTTAATATACTGTGGACTCCTTGAACTTCCTATTCCAATCCCTAATCCAAAAAGATTTACATTTGTTTGAGAACTGCTATACAAAAGTGGCAGATATTTACTACTGCTCAATCATCCCCTCAATCTAACAGACTCAAAGTAGGATTTATACAATTGCTCAAGGTGGTCAAAAGGCCTTGTTACACTTTACACAGTGAGCCACACAAAGATCAAATGGTGTTAGTGCTAGCTCGAGTTTGGTGCTGTCACACATTCTGGCCAGCAGCGGACTAGAGGACCGAGAGGCTCCCTCCTGACCCCTGGGGCTTCGCCCATCCCCCACCACCCACTTGTGGCTGCCTGTACTGTCTGCCCCAGGGGAGCAGGCAGGGAAGGGTTAACCTGCATGCCCAGCAGTGGCCCAGACAGCAGAAGTGGCAGCCAAGCAGGCAGGCTAACCCTTCCCTGCCTGCTCCCCTGGGATAGGCAGCACAGGCAGCCATAAGTACAAAGGTGGAGGAGATAGGCAGGTCAGTAAGCAGGGACCTGGGGTGCTGGCTAGAAAATGATATTTAGAGGCTTACTTTTAGGAATTGTCTTGTAGGTAAAGTAGATAGTGCATTAAAACAATGGTTCAGGGGAATGGCAAGGATTAACTGGTTTCTAAAAACCTGTTTGTGACAAAGGATCACAGCCTTCGAGGCAGACACCACATCCAAGGCCAACAGGCAAGTGGGTACACACATCCTGGGAAATTCAAAACATGAACAGTGTACCCATAACATGAGATAGGCTTGCCACATTGGAGTCAGGTTAGTGACCAGCTACAGAGCCCCAGGGCTTTCCATTTTTGGTGAACAGACCAAATTAGGAGTCTGGGACATGCCCAAAGTAAGACATCAGTAAATGACCAAATTAAGATGTGTGCAGACGATGGGTTTGAGAAACAAAGGAATATGCTGACAGGACAAACTGTGGACAGTATGCTGACCATAGGGAAACCAACATCAGAGGAAAGAAAGCATACTAGAAGGAGGGATTTCAGAGCAGCAAAGGGTCTCTGAGCAGGGAACCCAAGGCCACCATGGACAGAGGGCACACCACCAGCCCATCTCACCCACACCCCTGGGGGAGGGAAGGGCTCAGCCATCAACATCCAGGCTGCTGACATCTGACAGTCAAGGAAGAACCACAGGGTGAAGCTTGCATACTGGCCAGATGTACCTTCCCCTTTGTGAAAACCCTAGGACTGGTACATATAGAATGGGGGGATGGGTTATTTTGTTTGCCTTGCCGGTGTTATTCTGATCTGCTATCACTGTGTATCAATAAAATTTGCCTATTATCAAATGGAAGAAGTTGTGGTTGGTCTGAGGGTTTGGGTCCACCCAGAACAAGGTATCTGGGTCATAAACCCAGTGCCAACACTGGGGAGAGCAGGGCGTGGTAGTGGGCTCAGTCTAGCCCAGGGGGAGATGGGGCAGCAGGGGTGTTTACAGTAAGATGTAGCCTAGAGTGGTTAGGGTACATAAGGGTTTTTGGGGAGGTTAGATTGTGTTAAACATGACTACCCAATCTAACTAAGTTTGCCCAGGTGCAGACCTTACACTTGGATGTCTAGTAAGGTGGATCTGTATAGTTCCCATATAGAAGATCAAGAAGCTTGGATTCATCTAAAAATGGCTGATCCAATCTAAGTTAGGTTTACCTCCAAGGCAGTCTAACTTGGATCAGGTTCAGTAAGACTGATCTAACTGAACTTCTGTACAACTCCCAACACAGCCCCAGGGCTAGGAAATCCCAGTATTTGGATCCCAGCAGCTAGCCTCAGCCATGGGGCTACATTTTTCCTATCATCCCTCCCAGAACCAGACTATTTTTAGGCCTCCCACATACCAGGCAGCACTCCCTGAGCCCGCCAAACACCCTAATCTCACAAGCCACTCCTGGTGCCATTTTTACTAGTGTTCACTGGTACCTTGAGCTGAGGAAGTACGTCAGGGTAGGAGAGAGGCGGGCAACATCAGGGGGGTTGGTTAGCTCGGGGGGTTAAAAATAGCCCCTGGTCTCAGGGAGAGGGAGAGAGCCCCTCTATGTCATCATTCGCCGATGACATCAAACTTTGGGGCAAAGCATCCACACAGAAGACAAGAGGACGATCCAAGCTGACCTGGACAGGCTCAGCAAATGGACAGATGAGAACCCGATGGTGTTTAACACTGAAAAATGCAAGGTTCTCCACCTTGGGAGGAAAAATCTGCAGCATCCTTATAGGGTCGGCAGTGTTATGTTGGCTAGCACTATGGAAGAAAGAGACTTGGGGGTCATCATTGACCACAAGATGAACATAAGCCTGCAATGCGGTGCTGCAGCTAGTAAAGCAAGCAAAACGCTGGCTTGCATCCATAGATGCTTCTCAAGCAAATCCCGGGACGGCATTCTACCATTGTAGTCAGCCTTGGTGAGACTGCAGCTGAAGTACTGTGTCCAGTTTTGAGCCCCACAATTCAAAAAGGATGTGGAGAAGCTTGAGACAGTCCAGAGGAGAGGCACACGCATGATCAGAGGTCAGGAAAACAGACCTTACGATGACAGGCTGAGAGCTATGGGGCTCCTTAGCCTGGAAAGGCGCAGGCTCAGGGGTGATCTGATAGCCACCTATAAGTTTATAAGGGGTGACCACCAGTACCTGGGGGAACGTTCGTTCACCAGAGCGCCCCAAGGGATGACGAGGTCGAATGGTTATAAACTACTGCAAGACTGTTTCAGGCTGGACATAAGGAAGAATTTCTTTACTGTCCGAGCCCCCAAGGTCTGGAATAGCTTGCCATCAGAGGTGGCTCAAGCACCTACATTGAACACCTTCAAGAGAAAATTGGAGGCTTATCTTGCTGGGATCCTATGACCCCAGCTGACTTCCTGCCCCTGGGGCAGGGGGCTGAACTTGATCTTCTGAGGTGCCTTCCAGCCCTAATCTCTACAAAATCTATCTGCCCAAGCCCCCTCAAGGGGTCTGGCTAGCCCTCCTGATGCCAGCAAACCCTGCTGGACCCCACCAACCCCACTGCAGACTCTGCTTGCCCACCTGGCAAACCGTTCTAGTCCCCCAATCCTCCTTACAGACTCTGCTTGCCCCCTGCCCCCACCCTGTCTCCAAAAGCTCCAGGAGCCACCCAAAATTACCATGTAAACAAGGCCTAACTGTTCTCAGTGGAGTCAGTTTTATGACTGACATCAATAGAAGCACAACTAGACTACTGCTAAAAATCCTTTTGAAACTTAGTTACTCAGACCTGTGAGCACTGAAGACATTATAGAACCTCCATCCTTGGACATGTTTAAGAGCATGTTAGAGAGACACTTGATTGGGATGGTTTATTCAGGAGGATTCTGCCTTGAGCAGGGGGTGGACTTGATGACCTCCTGAGGTCCTTTCCAACCCTACTGTTCAATGATTTTATAAATGTGCACATACTTTTGTACATAAAGTACACCGAGATTTGAAAAAGAAGGTCTCACTCCTAGTTTTGACTCTTAGACAACTAGGCTTACATAGCAAGAACTTTAATTTGCCTCTACTGGGCCAGGATATTTTGATAAATAAGACGCTTAATAAATTGATGGCTTCTTACTCTACCACCATATTTAGTTTTCTCATTTCAAAATGAAAAAAAAAAATCAATCAATTTCATCTCGGTTTTGTGATTCTATGGTGATAAGTGACATTCAGAAATTATAGTAAGTAATCAAACTGCTGAATCCAAGCATCCAACTGGACACATTACAAATGAGCCTGTCACATTAAGCACCTTTTGTGTGGAGAACCTCTAGGCTTTATTATCCTGTTCATGGGGAGAATCTGGAACGGATAGTCTAAAAGACAAGAAAAATACAATGGTTCTGAAAACGTAAAAATGGGCTCTCTGGAGGCAGGGATAGTCAACCTGACTGAGTCCTGCCTGAATACTGCTCCACTATGCTTCTCTTAGGGGCCAAGCTAGCTACTTCCTATTCTCTAGTCCAACAACTACCTACATGTTTGGACTGTCCTGGCATGCTGTTGATGGGGCATTTGGCCAGAGAATGCAGCTGACTTTGCCTGAATACAAAGCATGTAGTACAAGGTATCTTGATTTATGGAGAAAAGGATAGAGGTAATATATCTTCACTCCCATACTCTGTAGCTTAAGAGGAAAGACTCCGTAGCTTCCATAAGAATCCCCAACCCTCAGCTCACATTTTCCATAAGTAGTTTCCATTCTCTTGTATATAGTCATAAGCCATGGAAACTTAAATAAATATATATATATATATAAATATAAATATAAATATATAAATATAAATATATATATATATATATTTGCTCTTCACAGCATTATGACATTTTAAAACCTGGTATCAAAATATATGAATCAGTGCATCATTCTTAGGGTGTGCTTGCTTTCTTTGTCATGTTCCAAAGTGCTGGTCTGCAGGAAATACTTATAATATGAAAAAAATACCAGAACAGGATTATATCAGAAATCAAAATATAATAATTACATCTCATTGTAAGCCATTCATCATTTTATGGACTCAAACTCCTCCAGGGAAAGTCGCAAACCCAAAAGTTGTTGCCGAGCACTGTATTTTCTATTTACATCTCTGATTTAACAGACAGATGTAAATAAAACAGAAAACAAAACAGAACAAAATAAAACAATCAATCCAAATGTAGCCAAACTACTCCCCACAGACTACACATCTGCTGGTGCTGAAGAGCACAGATTAAGTTCAACATTATTGTACAGCGACAATTTTCCCTCCACACTCGCCTTATGAGATAAATATTGCTTGGTATTTTGGTTTTGTATTGTGTGTTGATTAACCTATCCAAAAGA